GGCAAGGCGATAGAAATGATACATAGTAACGATAAAAGCAGCAGACTTGGAGGATCCAGAGAGACCGAGGAGGACCAGAGGATCAGAGGGAAGCCAGGAGCGAAGGGAGAGGCTGGTGAGCCACTGAAGCCGGCGACACGATAAAATAATGAGAGATTCTGTCAGGAGCCTCTGGACACCCAAACGCACATTGGCAGCCGCGACGCTGCATCCGAGCTCCTGTGATCCAAGCTCCTAGCCACGTGCGAAGGGTGGCACGAGCCCAGGCGGGGGGGATGAAGCGAAGAAGGGCCTGAGCATCAGCAGCCTGGCCATCCCATGCGAACGCCGGCGCGAAGTGGCGGCGTATGCGGGCACAAACACGAGCAGCTAATGCAGAGGGCTCTGATGGGAAGAGCTCGCTTTCAAAGCAGGCTCGAAACTTGCCCCCCCGCCGCGGCTTCTTACCCCTGGGGGCCGAACTATCTCCTTCCCCGAAGACCCTGAGCGCCCGTGCGCCGCCCGTGGCCAACGCAATCTTGAATCTACCGGCGCGTGCACGCCTAGCTCGAGGTCCCATCGGAGGCGATGGGAAACCCATGGAGGCTTGCTCAAGGGTCCAAGCTAGGGCAGGGGCGGTCCGCCAGGGGGGGGCCAGACGGGGGTGCCCCCACCACTCGGCAGGCCCAAGGGACACGACAGACGATCGAAGCTCCGCAAGATTGGCTTGCCAAGTGATGAGGGTGACAAGGGCGGACCTCATCAGAGCACTCGCGTTAGCCTCCAGAGCGCTACGGAAACGAGGTAATCCCCATCGCTCGAGTTCAAACCAATCGGCATGGGCAAGGGCACAGCCAGGAACACTCCAAAGACGCGCAAGCATAAATCGCTCTCTCAAGCCATGCGAGCGGGGCAGAACATAGAGCTGACTTTTGTACGACAGCACAGGCAGCGCTCGAGACAGATACATGTCCGCGGCTCGCAGCAGCGGGGCACCAGACTGCGCAATCTGAACCGAACGGTCGCGGTACTGCAAAAGTGGCGCGGCCCACGGGCCCAGGTCTGCCGCAGCAGGTCCCAGCAAGACTCCAAGATAAACAAGTTTATCTGTGATGCGGAAAGCATGCCATGCGCTATCTGCCGCTGCCAGTGCGGATCGGGGCGTGCTAGCGCTCTCCTCGCACAGGGGACCGTTCAGCGGGACGGCCACGCATTTCATTGGCTTCAGATATAGTGAAGCACACATGCGTGCGACACGAAAGACACGTGCGAAGACGGCATATGCGCGATAGTGCCATATGACAGCGCCGATGTCATCTGCGCATGCACGCACGCGACCTCGAGCCTTCCGCTCGATGTTCCTGAAGAGGTCTTCGAGAAAAGGGGTTGGAGGCGAGGACAAAGAGAGAGCCGGACAGTGGACACCCCTGTAACACTCCAGCATGCATCCAATAAATAAGCCTCACGGTCATGCCTAGATCGTAGTAGCACGGGCTAAGTGCGTAATAGGCAATCACAGCTAGAAGAAAACCGCGCGGCATCCTATACGCCTTGACTGTGAGCTTCATCCAGGCCTGCGAGACTGATGGAAAAGCCTGGGCAAAGTCGAAGGAGAGAAGAGAGGGGGGACCGAGGGGGGGTGAGGGATGAGACGCGGCGCGGACGGCAGCTAAACGAGCAGCACTGTCGAGATCGACAATATTGTTGACAAAGTTCCGTTTTGCGACAAAACCGCGCTGCACCACCGACGCTACACGCTGGATGACAGGAGTGATGCACCGGTTCAAAGTGGCGGCGACCACTTTGTTACTGGTATTTTTGAGGCCCAAAGGTCGGGCATCTTGGGCACTGCGGCGGACTCCTCCGGAGCCCGAGCCGGGTTCCCCAGAGATGGGTTTGGGGAGGAAGACAGATAAGGAGGAGAAGAACCACAGAGGCATCGGGAGACCTTGAAGGACCCAGAGAAGACAGCTATGAAGGACCTCGGGGCCACATCCAACATTCCACGCTCGAAAGTGCAGGCCGTCAGGCCCTGGAGCGCTAGCTGGGGCGACTGCGAAGAACTTCTTCAGATCCCGCAGCTGGGGGGGCCGCAGGTTCGAGAAGTCCAGCCCAGGGGGGCGAAGCCGCTCAACATAACGCCCAGCCCAGCTCGGCAGCGGCGTGGTCTTCTCGAACACCGGCGCCCAGAAGTCCGAGAGAGCTTGAAAGGTGGACTCCGCAGCCGTCGAATGACTCGGATCATTCGAGTCCGTGCCTGGAGTACTGACCGTGACCGCAGCAAGACACTTACGGCGAGCGAACGGATTCCAGAGCTGGGCGCGGCGAGACTGGGTTGCTTTCCGCCCGAGTGCTCGCTGTCTGCGCCCGGGGCATACCGAGGCAGCATCGGCTTCGCGCTCGATCGCACGCCGGCGGTTCTGGGCTTCCTGCCGCTGGAGTCCAGCATGCAGGGGGCCGAAGCGCTCGGGGCTGCCAAGCACGACACCGGTGCCAGAGCTGATATCCAGGAAGGCCCGCGTCCACGGGTGGTTGGCGCGGAGTTTTCGCGCCATCTGCACATCTTGCCGAGCGATCGTACGGGCGACAGAACGGGAGACTATCGTTCTTGAGGTGAGGGCAAGAGGCTCAGAGGCGAGAGAGAGGTCCCGCGTGGTCTTCCCCGCTTGCTGCCTGATCGCCGTAGCGAGCCGGAGCCGCTCTGGCGGCTCACAAGTCGAGTAATCGATCAGCTGCTCGTACTGCCGTACGATATCACTGAAAACAGGATCGGAGTAGATGTGGAGGGGCAGAGGCCGAGGGCGCTCAGGACAGAGGGAGGAGGAAGGAGGGAGATCAGACAGAGAAAACACCACAGGCGAGTGGTCGCTCACGTCCGCGCGGTGCCACTCCTCAGGTTCTCCATGGGTCCTCTGGGACTGCCAGCTTTGACATAGCAGCCAGGGTGGGGAGCCCACGAAACATCGATCGACTTGGGACGAGGAATCGGTCCCGGGGTGGAAACACGAGGGCCTATCACCCGCGAGCTCCGTTAGTTGGCGCCAGATCGATCTCCAGAGGGAGCCCCCCGGGCGGCCCGAGCGAGATCGTGACGCTCGAAGGCCCGATTCCCGCACGTCATCCGACATGTTAAAATCCCCTACTAAAGTTAAGCCGAACTCCATGGGGTGGGAGCGAAGCCAAGAAAGCTGGTTAAAAAGTTTATCCCGAAGAGTTCTTAAATCAGAACAATCTAAACCGTGATTACGCACATTCCACTGCCACTGACAAAACTTGGACATAGTATTCCAGATCGTGGTAAGCAGAACGCGCCCAGGGATAATTTCTTCAGCTTGGACAGACAAGTTGGGAGCAGGAGGGACGAGGGTGGCAACTCCACCTTTAAAAGAGTGGGGCGGAGGAGGAGAAGCAAAGACCTTATGGGGGATGGCAGCTCGCTGGACGAGCTCAGAAACTGCAGCATGATTCCCATGAGTCTCCTGCAGCGCGATGACCGTGTACGACGTTCCGTTGCTGAGGCCGGCCAGGTGCGTGAGCATCGCAATCTTCCGAGACAGCGCGGTACTCCTGTGATGACACAGTGCTCTTGCGTTCCAGCAGGCATAGGCAACGGAATTCCCACCAAAGATACTGTTACCCACTCCACGTAATCGCCGTGCGTGAGAAGATACGATCCGCGGCGGCAGCCCCTCTCGCACGCTCGATCTGCAGGTCGGCGAGACTCGCCAAGTTCCAGCGAACCCGCACAGGGTCGCTGGGGTGCACCTCCACCTTCGCAATCGGCTGCCGGAGGAGGAGCAGGGAGGAGGAGGGAGGGAGGAGGACGAGGGAGGAGGAGATGAGATGATGATGATGATGATGATGATGATGATGATGATGATGATGATGATGATGATGATGAGGAGGATGATGATGATGATGATGATGATGATGATGATGATGATGATGATGATGATGATGATGATGATGATGATGATGATGATGATGATGATGATGATGATGATGATGATGATGATGATGATGATGATGATGATGATGATGATGATGATGATGATATGATGATGATATGATGATGATGATGGCGATGCTGCTGCTGATGATAATGCTGATGATGATGATGATGACGATGATGACGATGACGATGACGATGACGACGATGATGACGATGACGATGACGATGACGATGACGACGATGACGATGACGATGACGATGACGATGACGAGACGATGATGAGGAGGAGGAGGAGGAGGAGGAGGAGGAGGAGGAGGAGGAGAGAGGAGGAGGAGCAGGAGGAGCAGGCAGGGGAGGCGATGACGAGGGCAGACAGCCAAACCCCGCTCTACTTCGACGGACAGAGGCCACCACCTCTCTTCCTCTCCTCCTCCTCCTCCTCCTCCTCCTCCGCCTCCTCCTCTTCCTCCTCGTCCTCCCCCTCCTCCTCCTCCTCCTCCTCCTCCTCCTCCTCCTCCTCCTCCTCCTCTTCCTCCTCCTCCTCCTCTAGCGGCGCGAGCTGCGAGCTATGGACCTTTGGCCCCTCTGTGGGGCTGCGGCCCTTGCAGGCGGGCCTGGTCCCCAAAGGGGAGGCCGAGCCCCGTCGCGAACTTGAGGCAGGCGCGGAGAGGGGACGATAGCGCTCGGAGGAGGGACAAATGGGGTCCCCCCGGGGGGGAAGACAAAGGGGGGCTCGGACAAGGGCCACGCAAACCCAGAGGAACTCCGGGGGGGAGGCCTGCGTGGCAGGGGTGGCCTTTCGGGTGGAGCGGTGCAGAGGGTAGTGACCCCCCCGAAGCCCACCGCCCCTCCAGCTCCTGATCCTCGTCCTCGTCCTCGTCCTCGTCCTCGTCCTGCTCTCCTCCTCCCCCCTCTCCTCCCCTCCTCCTCCTCCTGATGCTGCTTCTCCTCCTTCTCCTCCTCCCCCTCCTACTACTCCTCCTCCTCCTCCTCCTCCTCCTCCTCCTCCTCCTCCTCCTCCTCCTGATGCTCCTCCTCCTCCTCCTCCCGCGCTCCGCGGCCGGGGCGCCTGGTAGAGACTTCTGAGGCCGAGGATCGCGGCGATGTTGGAGCCGAAGACCACCTGGGAGGCGGCGCTGGACGTGAGCACGCGCGCGCGCTGGATGGTGGGCGCTCGACGCGTGCGAGAGACCCAGACCCCCTCGAGTCATGAAAAAATCACGACGGAAGGCTTTTCGCTGTTTTCGGCCTCTGGGGGCCCTTACCGGCCCTCGGGACCGTCAAAAAACGACTCGGGATGAAAAACCGGTCCCGGCGAATAGGTCCGGACCTCTGGGGGTCGCGTAATGAAAAAATCATGACGTCGGGGGTTTGGGGAGGGCAGGGAGGGAGATCGGGAGGGGGACGGGGAGGACGGGAAGGACCAGAGTACAGTCGGACTCGATTGGACAGGACACGCGAGAGGACACAGGACCCTTCCGAGGGCCACATTGCCACCAGAGTGTAGGAGGCATGGGTCGCGAGACACAGGACACAAGGGTACCCTTGGTTTGGCAGGGTCGACCTACTAATCTGCGCCGACTGTAGATGGTGGGCGCTCGACGCGTGCGAGAGAGGACGGGGAGGGAGGTCGGGAGGGGGACGGGGAGGGGGGGAAGGACCAGAGTAAGCCCAAGGCACGCGAGCGATGCTGCAAGACACCCTCTGGTCCCAAGGCCCCTCCTCCTTTAGTCCCTTCAGCCACCTTCTTCGCTGCACGAAGCGCTCGCCTTGAGAGACGAGCGCCCCGCGTGGGATGCAATGTCCAACATACCTGGAAGAAAACGCCCACGCAGCGACCGAGCAAAGGGTGTGTCCCCCCCTTAGCTACCCCACCCCCCCTTGGACCTCCCCTGCCCGAAGCCCCCCCCCTCCCCACTTGTGTCCGCCCTGCGGAAGCTGCCCCCCCCCCCCCCCCGGCGCGCTCTGGAAGCTGCCCTCCCCCCTCCTCCCCCCCTTCCAAAGGGAGGGGGGCTTAGTTGCCCCCCCCTTTGGCCCCTCCCTGCCAGAAGCCCCCCCCCTTCTCCCCTTTCTTCCGCCCTGCGGCCCCTCGGAAGCCGCCCCCCCCCTCCCCCCCTCTTCGCGCTCTGGAAGCTACCCCCGCCTCTCCCACTTTTCCAAAGGGGGGGGAGGGGGACTGAAGGGGGGCTTAGCTACCCACCCCCCCTTGGACATCCCCTGCCCGAAGCCCCCCCCCCCTCCCCTCCCCTTTTTGTTCCGCCTCTTGGAGGCTACCCCCCACCTCCCTCCTCTCGCGCTCCGGGAGCTGTGCCTCCCCCGCCTTTCCGAAAAATTTGGGCCCGGCAGCTCCCTCCGCACGCCCGCATCGACACTCACAGGACCGATGCCCGTCGTCGAGCTCATCCGCGAGTCCAGCGACACTGGACCTGCGACGCCAGTGCGGGAATGCGGGTCAGACGCTGTCACAGAAGAAGAAGAGGAATAATAAATGATAATAATACTAACAAGAAGAAGAAGAACAAGAAGAAAAAGAAGAGGAAGAAGAGGAAGAAGAAGAAACCACAGATACATAAACTTTTGAAGCTCCGCGCGGATTTCTTGGATTCGCGCTAGACCCCCTCCCTGGCGCGCGGAGCGCGCCATGGGCGGCGCCGGAGGCGCCAATAGGGGGCCCAGGCGCGGATCCAAGAAATCCGCGCGGAGCGCCAAAAGATTCTGTTTACGTGTTTTGCTCGACTTCGACGTCAACTGCTTTACCAACATGCCGCACGAGCTGGTCATCCGCGCATGGACGTTCTACCGGTGCATGCTCCGCGGTTCGACCGACGCTATCTGGGCAGCGCGGCGGGGATGGCGGGCGGTGCCATCGGCAGGGGTTCCACCCTCCAGGGTGCACGGCTTCCTCCTCACCATCACCGCCGAAGACCTGGTCGTGCTGATCAGCCACCACCTCAGCACTGGATCTTCTCGTGCTGGGTGAGGTCGTGGGCAAGGCAGTGGAAGGGGCTTGCCATGGGCAGCCCCATGGGATGGGCTCTCACCCGGATAGCCTTCGGCTGCTGCGATCGGTCACTCCACCGCTCCCTGCACGGCCCGGACCTCCCCCCCCCCCGGGAGCGCAAGGGCCGCACACACGAGGCCAAGGTCCTTGGCAAGCCGGTCGGGGCCCTCGAGGCACGGTGAATGGACGACGACCTGCTTCTCTGGAGGGGCTCGCCCTCCCTGGGAGCCGGGGACCGTAGCGACGATTCTTTTACACAAGTACTCCTCGATAAGGAATCATTACCAGAAGTTCTTCAGAAAGGATCCTTACCGAATCAAGCCCCGCAGGAACCTGGACTAAGGAGTCCTGACAACTTCAGCGCCACCAGGCTGAAAGACGAAGCCCCCGAAGGGTGCCGCACGAGCGGGCTCAGACCATCAACCATTGAATTGCCCTGGCGACGTATCCAACCCCTGCGCAATGCTGGGCATGAGTAGCTTGGGAGACGTTATCCGGAAATGATGACGTGACATGGGCTCATATATTTCTGCGAGCGGCATTCGTGAGGCTCGCAGCTCTTCAAGGATTGCGAGGTCCCGCTTAGATCTGCGTGGTGCCTCACTCCGCTGGACCCGCCACCAGCCTTTAAAAGTAGCGACAATTTCGCAGATCGCAGCCCCGCAGGGACGGCGAGGTCCCTCTCAGTTCTGCGCGGTGCCTCACTCCGCTGGACCCACCAGCAGCCCTCGAAAGTGGCGACGGTTTCGCAGATCGCAGCCCCCCAGGGACGGCGAGGTCCCGCTCAGATTTGCGCGGTGCCTCACTCCGCTGGACGCCCTCGAAAGTGGTGACAATTTCGCAGATCGCCATGCTGGCCCCCCAAGCAGCCCTCGAAAGTGGCGACAATTTCGCAGATCGCAGCCCCCCAGGGACGGCGAGGTCCCGCTCAGATCTGCGTGGTGCCTCACTCCGCTGGACCCACCCCACCAGCAGCCCTCGAAAATGTCGATGGTTTCGCAGATCGCAGCCCCCCAGGGACGAGGTCCCGCTCAGATCTGCGCGGTGCCTCACTCCGCTGGACCCACCAGCAGCCATCGAAAGTGGTGATAGTTTCGCAGGTTGCTATGCTGGCCCCCCAAGCAGCCCTCGAAAGTGGCGACAGTTGGCGACAGTTTCGCAGATCGCAGCCCCCCAGGTCCGCTGGACCCACCAGCAGCCCTCGAAAGTGGCGACAGTTTCGCAGATCGCAGCCCCCCAGGGACGGCGAGGTCCTGCTCTGATCCGCGCGGTGCCTCACTCCGCTGGACCCACCAGCAGCCCTCGAAAGTGGCGAGTGTTTCGCAGATCGCAGCCCCACAGTGCTCTATTCAAAACGAATACCCAACCAAGGAGGGTTGGGAAAAAAAGTTTTGTCAAGCCCGAGGGCCAGCAAACTCTTTAAGGAACATGCGTTTCACAAATTGTTCATGAATCCGTGAATACATCTACCCGAGTGTGCATAGATCCACAAACACATGAAACACCTGAAACAACTTCCCCCAATCAGAGCTTGCCTCTGTAGGGGTCCTAGCGGATTCATATGGTCAGGTAAAACTTGTCGCCGATTTTTGCTGCACGCCCGGGTGCCCGGGTGCCCGGGGGTGCCCGGGGCCTGGCTGGGTGCCCCGGGGGTGCCTGGGGGGGCCCGGGGGCCCCCGGGGGGTGCCCGGGGGTGCCCGGGGGTGCCCGGGTGCCCGGGTGCCCGGGCGTGCCCGCCCGGGGGTGCCCGGAGGTGCCCTATAGCCCTCTAGCCCTATAGCCCTAAGCCCTATAGCCCTCCAATAGCCCAATAGCCCTACAACTCTATAGCCCTTGGCTCAATAGCCCCCTAGCCCTATAGCCCTGACTGTTTTTTTTCTGCGGTATCATATGTGTTTACAGCGTTTGCTGGCCCTCTGACCTGGGCAACCTGTATATTACAGTGTTTGTTGACCCTTCGGCTTGACATGAGGCGCCACGAGCAAGAGAGATCGGGGTCATAGCTAAGAAACCCTTGCCGGGGAATCCTTAAAACAGACCCTTCTGAAGGAATTCTGAACGAGGGATCCTTAGTACGGGATCCTTCCTAAATCATCTTGAGCATAAGACTATTCACTGTCGAACCCGTAACGAAGAATCCTTTACACAAGCACCCCTTAATAAGGAGTCAGTACCGAAGAGTCCTTGAGAAAGGATCCTTGCCGAAGAATGTCCCTAGGGAACCCGTACTCAGGAATGCTGCTGTGAGGAGTCCCTCCTGCCTGAGCGCAACCAAGCTGGATGACAGAGCCACCGAAGGGTGCCGCACCCGCGGGCTCGGACCATCGACCATTGCAAAGCAGGTTTCTCAGGTCCGAGGGCTGGCAAGCACTAGATAATAGGTGCTCCAGGTGTTTCAGGTTCGCCCGCACAGATCCACAAACACCTGAGACGTGTTGTTTACAGCGTTTGCCGGCCCTCTGACTCTGACCAGAAAGAGTGCATGTTGCAGCTTCTGCCGACGCTACGGCTTGACACGAGGCGCCACGAGCAAGAGAGATCGGGGATGTACGACTCTCTCTCTCTCTTTCTCTCGTCCCCTCCCCCCGCAACAAACAGTCAAAACACCCAGGACTTTCTACTGTCTCCAGCGCCTCCTCCTCCTCTTCTTCCTCATCTTCTGGGCCTTCGGTGGCCTTCGGTGGCCTCCCTCGTCGCCAGGGCTGGAAGTGGCTCGGAACAAGCTGTCAGGAAGGCGCCCAGGAGGGGTCCTGCGGCCGCTCCTGAAATGATTCCGGGTACAATGGGCTGTCGTGGGTATTCGATCTAGAAAGACCGCACCCACGATGTCACCACGTCTCTCCAAAGGACCCGAAGAAGGCGAGGGCGACGGCGTTGCCGACGATGACGAGGACGACGACGCAGATGGTGGCGCTGAACCCACCACAGGGTCGTCCGTGACGGCGAACACCGCTGGGATGGAGTCCACCGCAAAGAGAACGTCGCACAGCTCCACAGATATAATGCACAGCGCCTGTGGCGAAAAGGGTCGAGACAGTGAGAGCAGGAAGGGAGGAGGGAAGGGGAAGTGGGGGTGGGTGGGAAGGAGGTGGTGGTGGTGGTGGTGGAGGAGAATGACGACGACGAGAAAGAGGAGGGGGAAAAAAGGGGTACGAAGGGGAAGGAGAAGGAGGAGGAGGAGGACGATGGTGCGGGGGAAGAAACGACGACGAGAAAGAGAGGGAGAAGGGAGGAGGGGGTCCGAGGGGGGAGGAGGCGGCAGCGAGAAGGGGAGGACGAGGAGGAGCGGGGAGGACGAGGAGGCGTTGGAAGAGAAATGGGTGAAGGAGGTGGAGAAAGAGACCGAAAACTCTGGAGAAGATGAGGGATAACTAGTCGTTGGGGGAGGAGGAGGAGGAGGAGGAGGAGGAGGAGGAGGAGGAGGAGGAGAAGGAGGACGGGGAGGATGAGATGAAGGAGGAGGATAAAGAGGAAGAGGAAAAGCAGGAGGAGGAGGCAAAGAAGGAAGCGAAGACGCCGGTCCAGAGTCGGAATCGCCTCTAGCTCGAAGCTCGAAGAGGAGGAAGCGGAGCAGGATGACGAGGAGGCCACCCCCTCCTCCGCCACTACGGTCAATAACTTTTGCTTAGCTTGTCGCGGCGGCTGCGACACGCTACGCCTTCCAATCTGATAGCGCGTCGCTCTGCTTCGCGGGACAGGAGGCTGGGAAGAGCTCGGGAAGTTGATGCTTGAAGAGTTGGACGTGATGAGCGTGTCGCGCCGAAGCGGGATGAACCAAAACCGGCGCCGCGACACGCTAAGCAAACGTTCCTGACCGTATCCCTTCCTCCTCATCATTATCCTCCTCTTCCTCCTCCGCCCTTCTCTTACTCCTGCTCTTCGTCACTTTCTTTTTCGTGATCCCCTCCTTCTCCTCGTCCTCCTCCTCCTCCTCCTCCTCCTCCTCATCCTCCTCCTCTTCCTCCTCCTGCTCCGCTAAACTTCTCTCGCCCTTGTCCTTCTGCTTATCCTCCTACTCCTCTTCTTCTTCCTCCTCCTCCTCCTCCTCCTCCAACCTCTCTCTCCCTTATCATTCTGCTTATCCTCCTCCCCCATCCACCCCATCATTCTCCCTTTTCATCCCTTCCTCCTCCTCCTCCTCCTCCTCCTCCTCCTACTCCTCCTCTTTTTACTATTTGTTCATACTTTCCGCATGATTATTCACACCGTCATCCTTCCCATCTTTGATCTCCTCCGATTTCTGATGTTCCTCATCCTCCTAGGCATTCCTCCTTCCCCTTGCCTCTTCTTTTGCTCCTCCTCCTCCTCCACCTCCTTCATTCCGCAACACCCCACATTATTTTTCCCTCCTCCTTCTCTTCCTCGTCCTCCTCCTCCACTGATGATGAGATTAACGGTAAGCTCTTCACCTCCCTCCTCCTATGCCCCCCCATCCTCATACTCCTCCTCCTCCTCCTCCTTCTCCCTTCTCCTCGCCTCCTACCCCTCCTCCGTCTCCTCCCTCCTCCCGCTCCGTCTCCTCCTCCCCGCGCTGTTCTTCCTCTTATCCTCATCTTTCTCCTCCTCCTCCTCCTCCTCCTCCTCCGCCTCCTCCCCTTCCAACCTGGGGCACGCGTACGACCGCAGTCTGCCACTCAAGATCGCCAATATAGAATCTGGATGCTGGTATCGTGGTTCCAGTTGCATCTAGATCCAGATCGTTCCCGAGAGGACGAACGAAAATCACGACCTCATGCAATTGCTGGGACGCCGCCTCGATCGTGGACCAGCATTCCGCCCCACCCCGAGGCCCCTTGTGCCCGTAAGCCTGACGGCGACCATTCCCTCCTGCCTCCGGGAACATGACCCCTCTGGAAGCCTTTGGGCGGCCTGGAGCCTACGGGCTGGATCTAGAGCTTCTCCCTCCCTCCCTCCCATACCCCCAGACATCGGACGGATCGTCATTTTCAAATCCGCGGGCCGAAAAAGTCTCGATCGATTCCTTTCCCAGGGACAGCGCTTCGTTCCAACTCCACGTTGAATAACCCCACTGCCCAGAAACGGCCCCCAGAGACCGAAATGGGGGCAAAACGCTGTGACGAAAAGTACCTCAGCAAAGCACCCTCATAGCAGCAAAGGTGAAGAGAAGGGTCGAGGAGTAGGTCGGAGAGTGAAAGCGTGTTTTCCGATGTATTCCTAAGAAACGCACGAAGTGCGGCATAGTGTTCACTTCTGCGTCAGAAACGTATGCGGGAACAGAATTCTGGCAACACGAAAAGCCAAACATGCTCTGTTTGTGGGAGAATCGTACGACGGAGTAGAAGTCTGGCAACGCCAAGAACAGGAAGAACACGGCGAGCACGGCCATGTGCACCTCAGCGAATGTTTCACAAACAGAAGATCGTGGCCGTCTGAACCACAAATGCAGCCAGCACTGGGGCAAGAGCACGATTATCGACACACATTGTGAGGAAGTCTCAAGCGAACTGGAGCCAGGACAAGGGTGAGAGCACGGCCATGTCAACCTCAATAGATTTGTTACCAAGGGTCATTGCACCGGCCTTGCAGACGTGCTGCAGCGGATTTCTGCGTGGATTTCTGCACGAAGCGGCAAGCGAAAAACGAAGTGAATTTCGCGTGGATTTTTTTTGTAATCCTCATCCCTGGCCAAAGACAATCCGCACGAGATTCACCTCGAAATCCGGAGCGAAACTCTCCAGGACACTCTGGGCCCCTCCTATCGTCTTCCGAGCGAACTCCGCTCTGCGATGTGGGCGCCATGAAACACGGAGCCGGGACTGAACCGAGAACGTGGCTCCTGAATGAACCGTGCGGAGGCCTCTGGCGAAACGGCGGCCAGACCGGCCGCGCAGGGGTGGGAGCACGCCCCTGCGCACCCGAACGTGTGTCTTGCGACAAGGGATCGGTGGCCGTCTGGACCACACAGGTGGCTGGCATCCAACCTCGGGGGCGCGCAAACATGGCTTAGCGATCCATGGATGTGGCGCGCGGTCGCCAAATCCATGGGTCGGGGGAGGGGTGCCCTCCCCAAGATGCGGCCGGTGCCGCCTCGCTCGGCGGCGGAAATGCGCGGTCTCCCATGGAAGCGGGACCCGTCGCCAATCCACGCCCCCTCGATCCGTGTTTGCGATCGCCTGACAGGTATGCCTGCTACAAATCGTCGTGGCTGTCTGGACCAATCGTGTATAAAGGGGCCCCAGGACACACAAACACACAAATAACAAGATTCCCTATATTTTCCCATATTTTCTGTGTTTTTTGTCTTCCCCCCCACTTCCCATATTTTCCCATATTTTCCTGGGGATCGCCGAATAATTGTGTCTGTGTGTTTTTCCCCCTCCTGAGTGTAGCTGGCAGCCAAGCGAAGCAGCCTGCTCTCGCTGCTCTGGTGGAGAAGCCTCGCGCGGAGCGGCCGGCAGACCGGCCGCCGCGCCAGGCGGTCCACGGCTCCCCGTCCCCCCCTTGTGGCGCTCTCCTGTGGTCCTTGTCGCTGCCTTTCCCAGAACCCCCCGCGAAACGCTAGTAGGGAAAGCATATCCGCCCGAAGTCAGGGTGCCCTGCCTGCCCTTGCTCCTCTCTGCTGTTCTTTCGCTGTGTTGCTAGATGGCAGTCGGCGCATCCGCTGTTGCGCCCAGCCCGTTCCTAACCAAACCTGCGCCGCGGCATGGCCACATAATGCCTGCATCCTTCGGCAGCAGGCCGGAAACTTTGGTGGGCTTTCAAACGTCCTCACGTTGGAGGGAAGGAAGAGAGCGACGACAAGGTGGATGAGGGGGATCGGAAGAAGAAGACGACGAACAATAAAAACGTGTAGTAAAAATAAGCAGATAATTCATAACGGGAATAGTGGCACACAGCATAATAACAACGATATGGTTAAATGCCAGTAGTACTAATAATAATGGCACCACTAAGAATGAAACTAAACATGATGAGCAAGATCACAAGAAGCATAATGATACTACGAAGAATACTACGAAATACTAGTAAGAAGAAACATCATAATTCCTCCTCCTCCTCCTCCTCCTCCTCCTCCTCCTCCTCCTCCTGGTTCACACGGTCTCACGGCTGCACGGTCTCCTGACGAAGCCGCCCCCCCAGGGCCGGTGGGCCCCAGGGGGTGATGAGCCGGTGAGCCATGCGACCTTCGTGGTCGAGGCCGCGGGGCCGACGAAGACGGGGGGGGCGCGGGACCCGAGGGGGAGGACGAACGGGGCCCGAGCCGGGGGGCGCAGGAGGAGAGGGGACCCCCCCCCCGCCCAGAGCACAGAGAGGCCGACCAACGAGGCCCCCCCAGCAGAAGGAGCGGGGAGCGGGGAAGAGGGGGGGCCCGAGGACGGCAAGGGGGGTGGGGGGGACGGCTTAACGAGTTTTGCTGTCCAGGTTTGTGTTCAGAATCCCGGTCGGCCTCACGCGGTGTGAGCCGAGCATTTCGATCTGCAGAGGGAGTTCAAAGCACGTGCGCTCGCGCCCGGCTGACCGGAGTGGAACAAATCGCCGAGGAAAGGTGCAGCTGTCAGACGTCCGATCTGTCACCTCGTCTGTTGCTCATCGAAGGGGGGGAGGAAGAGAAAGGGGGACGAAGGGGGCCTCTCCGTGCACAGAGGGGGGCCACCACTCCGCGCAGGGGCCCCGCCCCTCCCCAAAGTCACTCTCCGCGCCCGAGGGCGGCAAGGGGGGCCCGAGGACGGCAAGGGGGGGGGGGGGGAAGCAAACGGGGGACGAAGGGGGCCTCTCCCGTGCACAGAGGCGGGCCGCCACTCCGCGCAGGGGGGCCCTGCCCCCCTCCCCAAAAAGGCGCCCTCCGCGCCCCGCCCTCCCTGCCTCTCCCGCGGCTGCCCCCAGCTGGGGGCGCTGCGGCCGCGGGCCGCCGGCGGCGCGGGCCCCTCTCGCTCGGGGCCCCTTCCACCCCTGGAGGGCCGCCCGACCCTTCGCCCCCGCGGGAAGGCGGCGCGCTCACCCCCGAGGGGGCGACGAGCATGTGGAAGTCGCGCCCCGCCCTCCCTCCCCCGCTGCTGCCCACAGGGGCGCTGCAGCCGCGGGCCACTGGCGGCGCGGGCCCAGCTCGCTCGGGGCCCCTCTGGCCATCGCTCGGACGCCCATTTCCCGTGTTTTTTGTTCGGTGTCGTGCGTGGCTTGTTCGCCAAAGGATCCAGGATGCTCCTCGATGGCCCTCGCCGAAGGAAAAATGCACACGTCCGAGCGATGGCGAGCCCTTCCACCCCTGGAGGGCCGCCCGACCCTCCCCCCCGCGGGAAGGCGGCGCGCTCACCCCCGAGGGGGCGACGACAGTATGGAAGTCGCGCTTCTGGGCGTTGTCGTCGGCGTTGGCGTCGGCACTGTCGTTGGCAGTGGCGTCTGCTCTGTCGGCGCAGCCGCTGGTGTTGCGGTCGGCGCAAGCGCCAACGAGTTGCACCTCGTCGGCCTGGTTCCACGAAGTGTTGCCGTCCGTTGTCTTCTGCGTCTTGGTCGCCGCTTCCTCCCTGGAGCAACGGAGCATTGCTGATCTGCCTTCAACCTGGACGCCGTAGATGGGCCCGAACAGCGAGAGGGTGGCCCAAACCGCGGTGAGGCCTAACTCGCGACTGCCGGAGATGCAGACAGCGTCCTTGGCCCGGGCCTTAACCTGGGCAAGAGCCGAGGCTGGCGCCGAAGCGCTCGCGCAGACCTCCTGGTGGTACCCGCGAGACCTGGTCCTCTCGCAGTCGGCCTCCTGGCCCTGGGAGTCGCACTCGCGAGCACCGGCGTTACCTGGGCAAGAGCCGAGGCTGGCGCCGGCGCTTGCGCGGACCTCCTGGCAGTACCCGCGAGATCTGGTCCTCTCGCAGCTGGCCTCCTGGCCCCGGGAGTCGCACTCGCGGGCATCGGCGTCGGGCTCGGGGGCGGCGTCGTTCTCGGCCCGGGCCTTACCTGGGCAAGAGCCGAGGCTGGCGCCGAAGCGCTTGCGCGGACCTCCTGGCAATACCCGCGAGACCTGGTCCTCTCGCAGCCGGCCTCCTGGCCCCGGGAGTCGCACCCGCGGGCATCGGTCGTCGGGCTCGAGGGCGGCGTCGCTCTCCGTGGCGACGCGGGCCACTCTCTCTAAATGGGGCCCCAGGACGACACACCAATAAATACACATAAATGAAACGATTCCCCATATTTTCCCATGCTTTGGGGTTTTTTGTCTTCCCCCCCCCCCACTCCCCATAGATTCCCATATCTTCTGGGGAATCGACGATTCATTGGGTCTGTGTGTTTTTTCCCCTCCTGATTCTCGGTGAGCTCGGCGGTGACAGCTGGAGGCCGCGGCTCCGCACGACGAGGCGGAGTCTGGCCGTGGCGCCGGGGGGGCGGGGTCGTCGGCGACACAGCCCGAGAGGCCAGGCGAGGGGGGCCGCCGAGGCATCCCGGCGGGGCGATGCCCATCTCGTGCACTTTTTGCCGGGCCCCTGCCGAGGTCCACTCTGGAGCGGAGCGCCCAATGGGGGCGAAGGGGCCGGAGGCCTCTCGGAGGCAGCAGGGAGCGAAACGCCGCTCCTGCCAGCTGCCGGCCCCCCTCCCCCCCTGGGCGGAGGGAGGGAGGGCGGCCGCGGCTGCGAGGCAGGAAGTCCGGCCCGCGCCCCCGTGTGCCTCCGGCCTCCAGAGGTGGTCGATCTCCGCGGTCTTGTCGAAGTCGCCGACGGCGCTGGTGACGAAGTTGGCGGCGAGGGAAATTTAGGGGCTCGACGCTTTTGGTGTTGGCGTGGCAGGTGTTGTGGCCGGCGGTTCCGTGGAAGCCGACTCTCTCTCGCGCGGCGCCGCCCTGGTAGGGGGGGCGAGGGAGATGACGCACCCCGCACCTCTGGCAGGCGGCAGGCTAGTTAGCTCTGCGGTCTCGTTGTAGTTGTGATAGGTGTAGTAGGGGCTCAGGGTCGGCAGCTCGGAACGCTGCTCATGGTAGTAGTTGCGCGCGAAGGCGTCAGGGCATATCTCAAGGATACCGGCGCTGGCAGTCGGGCGTAGGCGTTGGAAGGAATGCAGCGCTGATTGTGCCCGGGGCATTTGGGGTCTTCGCCCCGTCGTTATAGCCACTGGCAGCTGGGGCAACCTCGATGACGACGTGCTTGGTCGTGGTCATGGTTGGTGTTGGCGCCGTGCTGGTTGTTGCGGCAGCAGCTGTCCTGAGCGGCGGCTGCTGCCCTGGCCACGTCGCACGCCCAGATGCCAGTGCCCTTCCCGGCTGCGCGCCTCTCCGAGCAAAGCTCGCTCGGAGGCGTCTCGGCAGGCTGCCAGAAATCTTCTCGTGGAGGTCCGTCTCGAAGCCGCTCTTCTGGTGCCAGGCCATGGCTGAATCCCGCGGCGTGCCTGTCGCCTGCTGCGCGAACCCCCGCTCTTTGAGTCGCGGGCCCGGCGGGGGGGCCACGCCCACGAGTCGGGCAACGGCTCTCCTCCTCCTCCTCCTCCTCCTCCTCCTCCCTCCTCCTCCTCCTCCTCCCTTCCTCCTCCTACTCCTCCTCCTCCTCCTCCTCCTCCTCCTCCTCCTCCCCTCCTCCTCCTCCTCCCTCCTCCTCCTCCTCCCCTCCTCCTCCTCCTCCTCCTCCTCCTCCTCCTCCTCCTCCTCCTCCTCCCTCCTCCTCCCCCCCTCCTCCTTCGCCTCCTCCTCCTCATCCTCCTCCTCCTCTTCCTCCTGTCCCGCCTGATCACGTTGTGCTTTGTAAGAGTAGATATCGCGTTGCAGTCGTTTGACTACCTGGTGACGAAGGGGAGCCAGCGGTGTGAAGACAAGTGTGGGATGAGTGGCAAAGGATGTTTTTTTATGCTCGCGGTTTTTGTCCACGACACCCCGTCGCCCGGTGCACCAATGGACTGAGGCCCTTCGAGCTGCTGATCCAGCTTTCTCTCTGCTGCGCGCCGAGTGGGACGGCCACAAGGTCGATTTCACCTTGCCCAAGTACGCCGACGATCATTCCCGCTGCACCTCCATGGCCCTCGGGGACTCTCTGGGCTCTTTCTTTGCCAAGTCCACATATTCCCGACTGTTGCCTCGACCCCTTCCTCCAGGACTACGGTTACAAACAACATCGGGGGAAGCTAAAGCTGGCAGTCTGGATCGAGGGGAGGGGGCCATTGCATGTCGCAGATGGTTTCGCGGGCCTGGTCGGGCCCTTCTGTCGGGCGCTGTGGAGGAGGAGGTCGGACATCTAGGCCACCACATCTCGATGTCCCAGGCTTCTGGTCAGGTTACCCGTCGGCATCAGGCAGTATGCTCTGCTGTTTGCTCGCTGGGTGGCTTTTGGTCTCTGAAGCTGCCATGGGAGCTTACGCGCTCTATGTTTTATGCCTCTGATCCAGAATTCAGCTCGATGTGGCCTGGAGGCCTTCTTGTTGACCAAGCAGCAGTGTACCAATGTAACGGCCACAATGGCGTACGTACTTCGCTCGCCTTGCATTGCGGGGGCGTGCCAGTTGGACTAATTACCGAGACAGGAGCGATTCGCACGTTGACGTTCAAGGCTGCGTGGAGACATTGGCGCACCCTTTTGAGGCGCGCGCTGAGCCTGGCATTCGTCGTCTGGATTGGTGGAGGTCGTGGTCTCGCGCTGCCTCTGGCCACTTCCAGCTGTCCTTGGCTCTCTTCGGCCCCGTGCCCTTTGACTTGTGGGTCGCGCCCATGGTGGGTGGAGTTCTAACTTCTAGTGTTCAGTCGGGCGTGACCCCCTACAGGCGGATTTTGGACGAAAAATAAGCAATACTCAACAATTAATCGAAAATTGACAAAAGTAGTAGAACAATCGTCCCCAGACTCTTTTTAACTAGTTTTGAATGTTCCTCCTGTAGAAGGACATGCCCGACTTAAGGATAGTGCTTCCCCGTGGGCTCGGCGTGTGGAGGACTTGCACTGGGCTCAGGGGCATCGTGAAAACCCCTCGGGTTCCGTCGCTGCTCGCCCAGGCCTCCCGTGGGACTCCGAGGTCCAATCCGAATTTGATCGCATCGATTTTACTGAGATCCGTTCAAAGAATACGTTTGGTTCCCGCTCTGCGCCGACTGAATACACCGAGACGGCCCCCGAGGACATCCCGTGTCGAAGCGGGGAAGGTGACCCTGAGGCGCCCCATTTTCCCCGTTCCAGGTGGATGGATGCGGCGCACACTTCACGACTCGTAAGGGGCTCATGGCACATCTGCGTTCACGCCATGGCCTTCGATCGCTTTGCCACATTCTTACACCACGTAACACCTGCATCTGTTGTGGGGAGGCTTTCTGGGATCAGGCCTGCGTTGCGCGGCATCCAGTGTCAGCTGCGCCGCGGGAATATCGCCGATTCGGTCGGTGTAGGACGCTCTGGCCTCTTGAACATCCGTCGATATTGGTGTGTCCCCAATGCGAGTTCGAAACTGCGGATACCGATGAGCTATGCCGGCGCCTGCGTAGCCACCTGTCCGGCCCGGTCCTTCCACGGCCGTGGCGGCGCCTGCCCGACACCCCGCCCGAGCTCGGTGGCAGCGGAGCTGCAGGCGGCGGGCTGGATGCAGGAATCAGTCTTTTGCCTGGATATTCGTTATCCCTGCAATATGTCCCGACGATGTCTCATAGTCAATGGGCTTCGTGGAAGACATGGGCAAGAAAGGATAACGCCGCTAAGCATGCAACAGAGATAACACTGAGGGGAGGAGGCCGGGCCGCCGGGCTGGATGCAGGAAGCTTCTCCAGCGAAGCGTGGAGCAGATGGGGCCCACGCGCTGGCGCCGCCAGCCAAGCAGCCCGCCGAAGGTCGCAGCGGAGGGAGGGAGAAAGGAAGGCGACCTGCGCGACGCGCGGGCGGAGGGGGTCGCCATAACCGTGCCCCGACGACGTGCGCGAGCTGGCCAGCCTCGCGGGCACGGTGTTCCAGACGTGGGAGCTGAAGAGGAGGGGCCCCAGTGCATCACGCAGATCACGATCGACTCAGGGTGGCAAGTCCGACGCGGCATCAATTACCTCCAGAAGGACGTTCAGGCCAAGAATCCCCAGGACGTGGCGAAGCACGTCCTCCACTTCTCGGGAGCGGCCAAGGAGGGGTGTCCAAGAGGGGGGGAGCGCAAATCATGGCTGGCGGCATGTGCGCGGCCCAGGGGGGGGGGCCAGGGAAGTAATGAAGTAAGAAGAAGCGCCATGAAATCTGTGGAAGTATCATGGCCCACGCCATGATATCCCCCCCCCCCACCTATGGGTCAGAGCTCGGTGAAGAGAGGCAGGCTGACGTTCGCTTTCAGCCACGACGGCCCAGGGAGGGAGGCCAGGACCATGCTGCCCCGGTTTCTGAGCGCCACGACGCTGTCTAAGGCCGTCCAGCTCGTCGGCCCAGCCCCGCGCGGCCTCTCGAGCGCGAAGCGCCGAGGCTCCTCTCGTTGATCGAGCAGGGAGGCAAGGAGTGGGTGGACTGAGCCAAGCTGAGGGCGCGGAGTGGACTCGGAGCCACTCCCGTGACGGCGTCCGGGAGAGGCGAAATCTGAGCGGAGGAGCGTTTGCAGGCAGTGAGCGTTCTGCAGACTCAGTGACCCGAGGAGTGATCCCCGATCCTTTCAGTGCCACTAGTTTTGATACAGATTCCAATCCAAATCTTCCCCGGATCCCCTTCGCTGTGGCTCCTCAACGGGCTCCACGGAAGGGGGACTGGCAGTAAGAAACACGGTAGATCTAGTCACGAGTCGGTCTCCCAAGCGGCTCCCGCATGTGCGCCTGCGCGGCGCCCGAGAGTTCGCCACCGTTCGCGGGCAGTGTTGGCTCTGCCCGAGGGCGTTTCCCCGTCCTTTTACAGGTTGACCCGCTCTCCCAGAAGTCGGGTCGCGCAGAGTCCTTGGCCAGTCTTATGGTGTGAGGCTTGAGCAAGTTTGACTCCCCACGCATTTCTCATTTCTCATTGCTCATTGTCCCTCCTCCTCCTCCTCCTCCTCCTTTCCCTCGTCCTCCTCCTTTCCCTCGTCCTCCTCCTCCTCCTCGTCCTCCTGCAGCTCCTCCTCCTCCTCCTCCTCCTCCGCCTCCTCCTCCTCCTCCTCCTCCTCTCCTCCTCCTCCTCTTCCTCCTCCTCCTTTCCCTCCTCCTCCTTTCCCTGCTCCTTTCCCTCCTCCTCCTCCTCCTCCTCCTCCTGCTCCTCCTCTCTCCCTCCCTCCCTCTCTCTCCCTCCCTCTCCCCTCGCCTCCCCCTGCTCATCGTGCCTGTTCTCCTGGAGGGGGAGCGATGCCTAGACCTCCGACTGACAGGGTTTTTCTTTCGGTCCGCGGATCCCAGGGCTCTCCCTCCCCCTCCCTGCGGCAGCTCTGCATCCCGGATCGCCACAGGCCCCGGGCACCGACACACGTGGAGAGACGCCAGAACTCGAAGTACTCCATTGGTCGGAAGTGCACGATTTCCCCCGGGGCCGTAGGCGACCCGAGGAGGAGGAGGAGGAGGAGGAGGAGGAGGAGGAGGAGGAGGAGGAGGAGGAGGAGGAGGAGGAGGGGGGGAGGAGGAGGAGGAGGAGGAGAGGAGGAGGAGGAGGAGGAGGAGGAGGGGGAGGAGGAGGAGGAGGAGGACGGGTCGCCCAAGCCCTTCGGAGAAACCCTCCAGTCAGAAGAGGTCCTGGCAGGGAAAGGAGGGCGGAGAGCAGGGAGTCAGCGGCGGAGGAGGCGGAGGGCATCGTGTGACGCCGCGGGCCTCCTGCCAGGCGGCAAGCGAGGCAGAGAGGGACATCCGCGCGCTCTATACCGCGCCTCTGCTGCCCTGGCCCTGCGCGGAAGGCGCCGGCACACCCGCCACTGTGCCTGGCATGGTGCAGGCGCCCTCCTGGCCGCGGCCAACGGGTGCCTGCACGCCGTCCGATGGCCCAGCATGGCCCTGCCAGTGGCCTCCTCCTCGCCGTCTGGCCTTCGTGCTGGCCCTTCTGTCGACACGGCCGGGGGCAGCTCGAAGGGCCGGCCAGACTCAACCAAGGCGGGCCCTGGGAGGGGCCCAGGGACCTGTCTTGAGCGGACTCTGGTCGGGGGCAGGGCGAGGGTGGCTTTACGTCGGGCGTGTCCCTCTCCAGGAGGAATATTCAAAAATAGTCAAAAAATAATGTGGGGACGATTTGTTTTACTATGCTTTGACTATTGCTGAATATGTTGTGGGGAATCTTTCATTTTTCGCCCAAGCTCCGCCTGTAGGGGGACATTCCCGACCTCAGGGTGGCCGCAGGTTTGCTCCATCCCAGGGCTCTCCCCCGAGTGGTGGGCCCTGCGCGATCGGAGGCAGAGCCGGGCCAGGCACGCGGATTTATCCATAGGCAACACGATTGGAGGAGGAGGAGGAGGGGAGGAGGAGGAGGAGGGGAGGAGGAGGAGGAGGAGGAGGAGGAGGAGGGGGAGGAGGGGAGGAGGAGGAGGAGGAGGAGGAGGAGGAGGAGGAGTCGTAGGAGGAGGAGGAGGAGGAGGAGGAGGAGGAGGAGGAGGAGGAGGGGAGGAGGAGAGACGAGGAGGAGGGAGGAAGAGGAGGAGGAGGAGGAGGAGGAGGAGGAGGAGGAGAAGGAGGGGGAGGCTCGTCGGGGCCCCCCGGAGGCCACCGAGGTGCGGCCAGGCGGCCCACAGGGGGCGACGGTCGTCGGCCCGACCCACGGAGCGACAGAGAAGGCACGACGCCCCTGCGTTTTTCTCACGGAAAAAAGCGCACGAGGAGCAACACTCCCTAGGTTTCTTCATATGCCAAGGAGCGACAGAGGAGGCACGAAGCCCCTGCTTGTTTCTCCCGGAAAAAAGCGCACGAGGAGCAACACTCCCTAGGTTTCTTCATATGCCAAGGAGCGACAGAGAAGGCGCGAAGCCCCTGCTTGTTTCTCCAGGAAGAAGCGCACGAGGAGCAACACTCCAGGTTTCTGAATATGCGTGAGGAAGCGTCGGCCCGAGCCAAGGAGCGACAGAGGAGGAACGAAGCCCCTGTTTGTTTCCCCAGGAGAAAAGCGCACGAGGAGCAACACTCCAGGTTTCTTAATATGCGTGAGGAAGCGTCGGCCCGAGCCAAGGAGCGACAGAGGAGGCACGAAGCCCCTGCTTGTTCCTCCAGGGAAAAGGCGCACGATGAGCAACACTCCAGGTTTCTGAATATGCGTGGGGGGGTACTTCCCCGACGGGGGGTCAACCTCGCATCGTCGTCGCGCCGCGACGGGGGTCGGAGCGCCTTCGGCGCGCGGTGGCTGCCCGCGACGGGGGTCGATGTGGGGCTGTCGGCGGGGGTGACGCCCCCCCGACGCTGATTGAGAAACCTGGAGTAAGTAAAACATGGCCCTGGCACATCAGGAACGATGCACAACGCACATGCAGGCCTGAGGAACGACTGAGCCCCCTTTGGAAAGCGGGTGCTCCCTTGGTCGGGCCGCTCACTGCAGGACAGCCCAAGGGCTCTCCGAGCCCACCCCGCAGGCTCCGAAGGAGCGCACGAGGAGTGCCCGGCGCGAGGCCTCCGTGAGGGCGCAGGCTGCACCTCCCTGGCTTGCCTCCGGGGGCGTTTCGAGCCAAGGCTGCTTCAGGAAACACGGCTCGCGGGGCCCCCAAGATGGCAAGAACGGCCCAGGAACTTCCCAGGGTAGCCCAGGAGGGCCCTCGGGGAGTCCTAGAACAGCCCAAGATGCCGCCGAGACGTCTCGCAGAGGGCGCCAAGACGTCCCAAGCCACAGGGACCCCAAGAAACTCCCAAGACGGTCCAAGAAGTTCCCCAGATGGTCTGAAGATCAGTCGCTGCAAACCCTGGACTCGCCCTCCCCCTACCCCTCTCTCTCCCTCCCATATTCTCTTCCTCCTCCTCCCCTCCTCCTCCTCATGCTCCTCCTGGCTCTCGTCCTCCTCCTCCTCCTCGCCTTTTCCTGCTCTTGTTGTTTCATCGTTGATCCTTCTCGTTTCCTCAACCGACGCCCACAGGGGCCAACAGCAGTCTCAAACAAGAGAAGGCTGAGCGGCTGTAGCGTCAGAGGAAGGAACACCGAGCCCCCCAACGACACAGACCCCAGCAGACACTCTTTCTATGGCGGATGTGCGCGCCAGCACGCCTGGACACGCGGGCGAACGTTACACGTTAGGCTCTGGAAAAGTGCTCAGCCAGAATTACGGAGCATCCGAATGCACATCTTGACGGGCACGACTCCCTGGCTCTCGCAGATGAAAACGATGAGCTCCATCGCGAAGCCGGCCTCCACCTCCAGGGCGGCGGCCAGCAGCAGGTTCAGCATGGGAACCATGTGCGCGCAGGCCCATTGGAGCTGCGCCGCCTGGAGCCGTTTATTGTTTCCCACAAGGGCACCTGCTCCAGCTAATAGGGGGCAAACAAACCTACCTCGCTTTTGACCACCCTCGCTTCCAAGAGATACCAAGCCGCCTGTACTGGTCAGGCCGCCTGACGAGGAGGCGCGTGGTATGACGTGGTTTTGCCTGGAAGCGAGAGCGGGGTAGGTCCTTCACGCTCTGAATCAAGGGATCCTTGCCGGTGCTTCGAGGAGCTGCAGCCCCTGGTTGCCGGCTTCCGGCCGTCGCCGCCCTCGGACTCGACCGTCGTCGGCGGGCGGGCTGCCCCGTTCGGGCCGTCGCCGCCGTGGGGTTCTTGACGGGTTGCCCAGAACAGCGCTTGCACGGAAGCCTGCCGTCGCCACCACGCGCTTCCGACCCCTGCCGCTGGACGGGCTGCCCGCTTCGCGCCGTCGCCGCAGTGCAATCCTGGCCAGAGCCACCTGGCGGCTTGCCGGTTTCGTGCCGTCGCTTTCCGTTGCCGGTGGGCGGGCGGGCAGGTTCTGGCCGCCGCCGCCGGGCTCTGGCCGCTGCCGCCGTGGGGGGGCTCCGCATGTCGGGCTCCACACGCACAGACACAAACACAGTCACAGACACAAACACATACGCAAACACAAGCACAAACACGAACACACATACAAACACAAACACAAACGCAAACACGAACACAAACGCGAACACTAACACAAACACAAACACAAGCACAACCACAAACACACACGCAAACACGAACGCAAACACAAACACACACAGACGACGCACGCAAACACACACAGACACACAGACGACACACACACACACACACAGACGACACACACACAGACGACACACACACACACACACAGACGGCGCACGCGCTTTTCGGCCGCCGCGGCCCGGCGCACCGCCGTGGCGTCGACACGAGGTCGCCGGCACGCCCGCGCCGGCCCCACGCAGGGCAGCAGCGGGCCGCGGCGCGGCCGAGGAGGCGGCAGGCGCCGCGGCCGGGGAGGCGGCGGGGGGCAGGCGCCAGGCGGCGCAGGCGGCGAGGCGGCGGCAGGCGCCAGGCGGCGAGGCGGCGGGCGGCGGGGCGGCCGGGGGAGGCGGCCGGGCCCTCCTCTCCTCCGAAGGGCCTCCTCCTCCTCCTCCTCCTCCTCCTCCTCCTCCTCCTCCTCCTCCTCCTCCTCCTCCTCCTCCTCCTCCTCCTCCCCTTCCTCTTCGAGGGGGCCGCGCCGAGGCGAGGCGGGCGGGGGGGAGACCGCGGCGACGGGAGCCCAGGCAGCGGCGGCGGGGCGCCGGCGAGGGCGGGCGGGCGGCAGGCCAGAGGGCCAGGGTCACGGTGCCCCTGCAGGCGGAATTGTGGGGCGACGACGAGAAGCAGTCAAGACATGCCTGGTCGAGGGAGGAGCAGAAAAAATCGTCCCCGGACTGTGTCTGGGCTACCTTTGAAAACCCCTCCCGTGGAGGGACACGCCCGACCTAAGGCCAGGGGGGGCCAGAAGAACCGACAGGGCGGGGCAGGGCGTACGCAGGGCGGGGCAGACGAATCGGAGAAAAAATCGTCCTCGAACTATGTCTTGGCTACTTCTGAATACTCCTCCCGCAGAGGGGCACGCCCGACCTAAGGCCAGGGGGGCGGGAAGAACCGACAGGGCGGGGCAGGCCGGGGCAGGGCGTGCAGGGCGCGGCGGAGGAGGAGCAGGAGGAGGAGGAGGAGGAGGAGGAGGAGGAGGAGGAGGAGGAGGAGGAGGAGGAGGAGGAGCTGGCAAAGCCGCCACGCGCGGCGCGGCTCAGTAGGCCGAAGTCGCGGCGACGCGCCACCCTGGGGACGGAACCAACAAGGCGACGACAGAAAAATCCAAAGTCGGCCCAGGTGGACGCCGCGAGCCTGGGCCACGGAGCGGCAGCGCGTGGCGGGCCGCGCCCGGGGGAGTGGAGCGATTCCGCGTCCAGAAGCGAGAGCCTCGCCCAGGGGAAGCACCCTGGCGGCGCGGCCGGGCGACCTCCACTGAGGGCTCGATTCGCCCAGGGGATCAGCGAGGCAAAGGCGGTGCAGTGCGGGCGGCTGCAGTGAGTGAGCGAGAGAGGCACACCGAAGAGAAGCAAAAAGGCGGGGGCGTGCCGAACCGCAGACTGGCGATCGCCGCGGGTCCTGCCAGGGGATCGGGCCGAGCCGACCGGGGCGAGAGAGCCGGAAGGAGCGAACCCGCGCCCGGAGGCTGGCTGGGCGGTCGCAGTCTGGGGCAGAAGACGGGCACCGCCGGGGTGAGGCAGCGTGCCGCGAGAGAGGCAACCAGGCGCGCTGGGGAGGACGGCCGGTGCCAGCAGCGAACGACCAGAACCAGTGACCAGCGCCAAGGGCGGGCAGATCCGCGCTCGAGGCAGCGTGGAGACTGGAGGGGGGCGGGGGGACGGGGCGGAAGCGAAAAGAAAAAAATATGCGGCGGTGGCGCGGATAAGGCCGGGCCTAGCGATCGCCGCGGAAGGACCAGGCAAAGGATCCAGCCAGGCGTGGCGCGAGGCGAAAGGCCGCGCGGCAGATCCCGCGCCCGGCAACTGGGCAACGGCCGGCCGGTGGACAAACGACGGGCTGCCGGGGCGAGGCAGCAACCCGCAAAAGAGGCGTCGAGGGCACCGCGCGGCGGGGCGATAGGCAGGGGCAGCGGGACCCACAGCCAGTGGCCAGCGCCAGGGGCGGGCAGATCCACCGGATCCGCGTCCGAAGCAAATCGGAGACTGGGGGGAAGCGAAGGGGCGCGGGGAAACGCTTCCACAGACGCACGCACACATGCACACACACACATAGACACACGCACACACACACACACACGCACACACACACAGACACACGCACACACACACACAGACACACAGACACACACACACACACACACACACACACACACACACACACACGCACACACAGACACACACACACACACAAAAATACACACACATACGCACACACACACACGGACACACACACACACACACGGACACACACGGGCACACACACACGGACACACACGGACACACACACACAGACCGACAGACAGACGGACGGACAGACAGACAGACAGACAGACAAACAGACAGACACACACACACACACACACACACACTCTGAAATAATGAGGTCTTCTCGAAGATCTTAAAATCGAAACGCGCGTAGATATTGAAGTTCCCCATCAGGGCCCTCGGAGAGCATCAGGAAATCCCCCATCGAGGCCCTGCAAAAGCACCTAAAAGTTCCCTCCGAAATACCACTGGAACGCCCAGGACAAAGCCTAAGGTTCGTCATCACGTCCAGGACGCCTGGAACCACAATACAGAACATAGAATAGGCCATCGGTCCTCTCCCAAAGAATCGTGAAGAAGTCTGAACTATGTATCGTCACACACTGTCCGAAATCGTTTCTTGTACTCTCGCCTGGCTAAATGAGCGCATCCAGATTATGATCGCCCGCTGATGCCTAAGCGGCGCTGGCTTCGATGTAGAAGCGCTCGGCTAGTGGCCAAAGTTGCGATCAAAACGGTAACGCCGAAAGAAGCACACAAAAGAGACGTGTAAAACGTACGTGGCGCGCAAGCAAGTTGCAGCGCGCATTCTACGCACGAAACGCGCGCGACCCCAGCGGGTCCCAATGATGAAAAAGGAACTACAACCATTCGTAGTCTACGGAAACAGAAACACACAAACCTCCCTAGATTTGGGCGGGACAACTTGCAAGACAAAACAAGGCAACTCGACTCCGGATCGCAGGACAATGCCTGTCCAAAGTATCGCGCCCCTCCTGTCCTTGAGTCGTCCATCTCGCGACGATACTTGCCTCGATCTCAACCCACATGGCCTCAGGATTGCTGTTGAACTATATCATGATCCACTGCGCGAGCCCGATCACTGTTGTAATCATCGCCGTGGCCATATACGAATTCTTTGCGCGTGCTGACAAGTTCCCTGCAATTGCAATCTCGCTGGCACCCGATGTCGTAGAGTTTTGAAGGCGCTGGCCACCGGGCCACCCTAGCACCGCAAAGGGGGCAAAGGCCAGCGCGTTCACGCAAGTCTTCTCATGAGCGCGCTCCAGAGAGCAGCGGGTATCGAGGATTAGGCAACCTCCGAGAAATCGACACGCCTTGCCGTCATCCGCCCGACCACCTGCCCTACAGAGGAAGCGCGAGAAAACCCGAGGCTTGGCAAGGGCTGGCAGTGAGATGGCACTGAATCGCGGTAGCTGAAGTACCTGGAGCTTCTGTGCTGCGACCGTGGGCACCCCTCAGAATGTTCTCCTGCCCCTTGATCCACGCGCGCTGAACTCTGTCACGCGCGCCAGCTCCACGTTGACGCGTCTGTTCGCCAACGCTCCCCGTGAACAAATCGTTCTTGTGGCGATTCGAAGATAACTGCAGCCCTCGTCCGTGCTGCGATTGCGCATGAGCTCGCCGGTCTGCTTCATGCCAAGGTGGCCCACGTCTGATTTCTCCGCGCCGAGGGGCATGGGCTCGGGGCGCCGCCAGGCCAGGAGCTCTCACTCGGGCAACGATGCCCACCACGCTGAGAACTGCAACTTGTCTTCGGCGTCTGTCGCGGCTTGGCTCGGGGCCATCGTGTCAGCGCGGTCTGCGCCGACGCTGGAGGTCGATGAAGCCGCGTCGTGCATCGCAGCGCCGACGTCAGGGCTGCAGCGGGCGACGCCCTCTGTCGCGCGCCGCGGGGCAGACGGCGCGGCCGCGCCAGGGGGGCCCCCGCTGGGGCCTCTCGCCGTCGCAGCGCTCGCTGCACCCGGCGCGCCTCCGCCTCCTCTTCCCCGCCGCCGCGCATGGCCTGAGGCTGAAGGGGCCCCGGGCGAGCACATCTCCGCCCACATGCTCCGCGCGTCGTCGCGGGCGTCGTCGGCGGCGCGCTGCGGGCCGCCGAGCTGCTCGCCCTGGGCGCTGACTGCGTCCGCGAGGCCAACCAACTCAGCCTTCAACTTCTCGATGGCCCGGTGCTTCTCCAGGTCAATCG